ACTGTGTGTGTCTGTTGCGCCTGAATAGGTCACACATCACGTGGACAGTTTGGAAATAAATTATCCTATCCTTAGCATTTTTCCGGCCCGGTGCTTTCGACCCTACTGGCAATAAGCGGGGTAGAGGGTGGGGGGTGAGTCAGGATATTTCGAGTAGCTTCGTTGTATTTTATACCATTCAATCCTACAGATTGTCGACTGGTAATAAAAAGTCAATTCTCTATGGTCTGATAGACGTTTTCCGGGTGGCTAGTCACTGCTCATATTTCTGTACGCATTCAGCTTCGTTTGAAAAACCGAGATTGTCGTTATGGGTTATTGTTAATCTCTTCACCGTCTGCGAGGTTCGAACATTGATCGAGCGGCGTCCTTTGGGTCTTAAGGTCCAGGGTTCAACTGCCACCACCACCCTCCAAGTTTTGGGGTAGACAGCTCCGCTGTCGTCTGGTTGGATACCATTCCTATACTAGTTGGGTTAACCTCTTCTACTAGTGATCACATAGCAGCATGCAATAGAAAAATCAACCAACTCAACGGCGCGAAGACAGTTTACTAGGCGTAAATAATACCCAAAGGCCATTAACTGTTAACTTACATTACTTGTATGGCATTGATCGGATCTGTTGAGATACTAGGTGTTCGGGGTCTTCCGTGTAGCTAACTTTGTTACGACACAGGTTCCATATCTTCCCGAACAGCCTTCCTCGGTGAGCCGTGATTTCATTCAGAACCACGAAAACAATGAGTTTTACTCGTGCAAATTCGGTTTAACTAAATTGTTGGCGTCCAAAAAAACCGCCACATAACTGAAAACGAATAGGTAGGTTAAGTTTCATTGACAATGATATCCAACTATCTATTCCCTTTCTTCTTTTGTCTCATACTGTTGGACATATTGTATTATATTTTATATTTTCATACACGTCTGAATCCAGACTGTTCAGTGAGTATCCTGACAAGGTTCGCATAACGACGCTATCCTAAGCCATAATATCTACGCGCAACACGCTAGTGTCTTCTTCATCTTAGCGGTCACGTTTTCCTTGCCACTAGTGGCACAGGGACCATGGCAATAGTTGTCCCCATGCCGCTTCAATGTAGATGTAACAATTTCAATTCGGAAAATATTTGACACTCGCTCAAGCAATAAGAATAGTAATCTTATCCTGTATCAAATTCTCTCGTTCACTCCTCGTTTTTTGGCGAACCGCACATTGCAGATACAACCGACCCTTCTGCACCTCCGAATAATTTCCAAATTCTGACCAAGGCCCAAATGGAGGAAGATGTGCGTTCCGGTGCGTATGTAGAGTGGGGTAAAGTGGACGGACATTACTACGGGATCCGTTTCTCCGCAGTACGAAAGATCATTGCCAGCGGCCGAACTGCGGTTCTGGATTGTCAACCACAGGTACTTGAGTGTTCTTCATGGATTTTCCATTGATTCTTCTTGCGCGTCAGTTTTCTTCTCATCGTGATCCTTATATATATTCGATTTGACCGCTTTATTTTCCAGATCCCTGAAACTCTTGTTCCGTTACAGTGGAGTTGATAGAGTTGTTTTGGTTGATTTCTTTATTTCCAAGCATCTTGACGCTCACGACACCTTTATTGATAAGATAACATATGATCAAGGGCACTATGTGCATCGAGATATCGTGAAAACCGTGTCAACTCCCCGAACTCGCTCCAAATATCAACTGCTTCCCGCGCGTATTCCGCATATAGAAACAATGTGATTCCATACCTTGCTTGGTTATTGGTTAATCATAAGACTGTTCTCACCCACCTCAGGGAAACACTATTGCACTAATTTTTCCCCTTGTTTACTAATATATAAAATTTCTTATCTTGTCTTTTTTGTTTTTCGCAATTGGTTTTATATATCCACTGTAAAAATCGTAAACTGCTGAAAATTCTCCCTTTGGGTGCATGAAGCGTTACTTGACTTGATTTGACTCGTTTTAATGCATGATAAAAATATCATTCACTATCTATATTGTGTTTCTAATCAANTGATCAGGTGTTTAGCCATTTTTGTCAAGGGTCCAAAAAGTCACGAATGCGTAGTATTCCGGTAATGCACTACCTCTGTGAACGTTTCAGTCGATGCCTATGCGATATCGTGTAATGTAGACACCTATGCATTGCATGTGCATGTGTTTACAGTACGTGTTAAGGGACGGAGTCCCAATTTAATAGAAGGTAGAATTCTATAATTGACTGTACTTACAATGTGATGTAATGCAGCGTAATCCTACATTTTAATTCGTGGTAGATTCCGNTGTATGTATTTCCCCTTCCTTGTGCATGCACGCATTCCGTTTAAATCGGGTGTCATTTATTTATCCAATGTTGCACAACAGTCTGTCCATTTGCTGCATCAACCTGAGTTCAATCCGTGCACCGTGTTCATTGCTGCCCCGACATTTGAAGTGGCGAAACGAATGCTAGACGACGGTATTCGACATGGTTTGACCAAAAACACACGTTCGGTTAGTGATTGTTTCCTTTCATTTGGTTGATTACATTTGTTGAGTGTTCGTTTGCAGTGCCTGCTTGATTCACCATATCTAGGAACATGCCATTCAACTCTTTTCCCCATAAGCAGTGATCACATTAGCACTGATGCGAGCTTTCATCATGACATTTAATCCGAACCATTTGTCGATAAACTGCTAAGTTGCCGACAGCTACTGGCTTCTTCATCAGCATTAGATGCACCAACGGGAACCACAGTTACAGTTTGGTTATCTTCAAGATTCCTAATTTACTTCGCACTTCATTGCCTCAATTTTCCGGGTATGAGACGTGNGCACAGTTTGTCTTTTGCGAACCCATTGCTTGCTCTGAGAAGTTCGAGTATGACGATCCGATTCGATTTCACTCATCGACCAGACTGTTTCTGATCAACGATTCCTACATACTCCCTCCCCCCGTTTTCACATTCGTATATGTTGGTTATTCAACCAATGATGTATGCCACCAGACATTCGTGTTCGTGCTGCATAAACCCACTACTTCCTATCAACATTGGCATTTGATGAAAAAATGGTTTGTCTACCACGGTCTTTCCACACCGTAGCCTGGGTGAGCCTGTGTAAAAAAAACACTTTGGTTGCTGTGTGCCATAAACTGCTCTCAAACGTCTGCTGAAGATGACTAATCAGTACACCACGTACGATTCACTGACGGATATATAGCATCCATTCTCCTGTATATTCGTCTACCGAACTGGATTCTGCTGGTCCGTTTCACTAACGTGTAGTAGTTTTTTATTTACTCCCTTTGGGGTTTTTTCCCTCAAGATCCAATCAAGTCAACGTCTTACGTTTCACCCCCTGCTTTGCATCAGTAATTTAACAACCACTGTCGTTTGTATCGCAGTAAAGGGCCCCAAAACCAATGCAGAAAAACAGCAATAGGTTTTTTTATTTCGGCTGTCATGCCCAATGCCTAGAATGACACGTCGCACTGATGCCTCTCCTGACTGTCAAGAAATCCGAAACCTGGTCATGGAGATGATCCCAAGTGTGTGGAAACAGTAGCACTATTGGACTCATGGTTTTGATCTTTCAGTGGACTACAATGGGCCGCACTGCATTTGACCCTCATCCATGGCAGATAGCCCAAGCATCACGACAAGTGGTTTTCAATCCTCTATCGAAAGTGTAGTTCACTTCGAAAATAGAATATGTGTATAGACACACGAATGCTAGATCAGATTGCTTGCTCTGTTCGTTGGCGAGGATGGGTAGTTAACTTTGGTGTAGACAAAACTAGTATTTTTGAAGTTCCTTTTACATCCTTTCCTTTTTATTGTGTGATTGGTAAAAGTGCTCCATGCCGATACGATCATAACGGAATGGAAATACCGTTTCATCTTTAACTGACCGTCTTATGTAGGTTTTTGACCACACTTATACTGTCAAGTGGAAACCCAGATCAACTGTAGGAAACGTTGTGTTTCGACTAGCCTTACGAATGACAAGAGCGACTCTTGCTTAACCCCACTCGATAACGCGAAGAAAGAACACAGCCTGAAACCACAGTTCAGTTAGATTTCGATACGCAACAATATAGCACAATCACGTATACGAGAAGACTGCCCGGGACGTCCCAGTCAAATTGTGGCCTTGACATATCGATTGATTGATCCAATCGGGCTCAGCTTGTCTGGAGCGTTGCGAGCGTGCGTGTGGCCTGACTCACATGCGTGCGTGATCTGACGGGTTGTTTCATTTCCGTGCTAACAGGGGATTCCGGAGGATTCGGGTAATCGTTGAGGTGTACTTTACACCTTCAATGTGTAAAGTTTTGTCAGTGAATCGAATCAACTTCTTCCGAAATTCTGTGTGGTAATGACCCTTGAACTTGTTTTGCATTCATATCGTAATTCCGTGCTGTTTTCCGTCTTGTACAGAACAAACAAGGAGGGCACTAAAAAGCTGTTCCTACATCTTTGGGTCGCTTCAGCAGCGCGAATTCATCAACTCAATGAGAGACCGTACCCAAAACCTCACAGGTAAAGTTCTTCACAATCGGGCTTCTACTAAGTGCCGTAGAACACTGCAAAGCCAGTTCTGGGATGCCATTCATGTCAAATTCTAATAGTCCTTGAATGAGTAAACAATTCCACTGCTTTTGTCTCGCTGAACTGTTGTAATACAAAGCGTGACGCATATGCTGATCACGTCGTTTAAGGGGTTCGCTGGAATTTTAATTTTTCCTCCATACTCTCGGCTTCAATGTCTGTAGTCCTCAGGCTTAGACCTCTTTTGGTATCATCTGAATCAGTATCGCGTTTCATACTGCACATAGCCTATAGCGCCGATCCCGATATAGTATCTCGCGACGGTCAAACGGTATCAATCATCATAACATTGGTCGGACTTCCGCTGTTCTAATTCCACCGTCACTATCATCTATCTTGCCCTCTTGTATGTTTCCTCTTGCGGTTTTTCAGTAGCCACACCGATTCTCCTAAATTGATTGTGCATATAACTAAATCGACAAGCTGTTGTTTTAACGCATGCCACTTAGCGCGTCCCGGCTGCTCTAGGTGGAAGGGAGCTAAACTTTACTTGGATAGGCAGCGTATTATGTGCTTTGCTCAATAGTTTGAAAACTCTGACCCCAAAAGCTACATTTGCTAGACTCTTTCCATCTTGAGAAAGTCCCGGGCAATAACTCATATTGAACTATTGTATCCTTTTTATGACTATTTTATGGCTTTCATTCCTTTGGATTGACCGCTTCCTCCTTCCTGGAAATTGCATCATTATGTATTCGATAACAGGAAGTAAAAAGAAATAAGGATATTATACCATAACTAAGTATCTCAACATGACCAACTCATGGCATATTTCAGTTCGGATATATAAAGATGCCTGTCTATCATCAATCTGGAACAACATACCTACGCTCTGTATACTTCATGATGCTTTTGCGCAATTCCCCCCGTTGTTTGCTTGTGTTACGTTAACAAACATTCGGTAACTTTTTTCATCCACGGTCATTGCAACTGGTTTAGTTCTATTTCATGTTTTTCCGTATCTTTGTTTTCTAGGATGACGAGTTACATGATATTATTGAGGAGTCGCGTACTCGAGCAGCTCAGTATCGCCACTTATATACCCATTTACTGACGAATTCGAATATGAAAGAAAGTGTCGCAAAACTGAGTCGCTTGGTCAGCCGTATCGAGAAACAGCCCAGTTGGATTCCGTCTGGTTGGGCGTACGAATTGAGTGTACCAACAATGTCTGGTACGTTCGTATTTCCATTCAACTGTACGCCCATCCATTCATTTGCTTATTTTTGGCATCGTAATCTGTGCTATGGTATTTCTTGGAGAAGTTCCTTTTGCATTTATGGTTTTGTTTGTTCGGTAAAATTTTACAGCTTCTTTCCGCTATCTTCAGAGTTCTACTGCTTCCTAAACTGCTTGTTAGCTCACTTATTGGTATTTATGATGATATGATTACCTCCTGGTAGATCGCCAGCTTCATGTAAGAAACTGATATCCAACCACGCATCCACCGCTGAGGTGTTTATTGTTGGCTAGCACTAGCTAATGTTTTACACTGATATTCTCACGCAGACAGACAGTGTCAACTCTAGTATATGGTAGCACCAGAATTCCCTTNNNCAGAAGACGGACTCTGCCTGTGCGTTCCATGTGCTTTATGCATCAATCTCTCTCCTAGATTTTGGATCCGAAAACACTTATCCCGTCCCCTTAGTGTCTTTGGAAGCTCTCTTCACATTCACATATCCAATCCCGCTTCTCATCGAGATAAAAATAACTCAAGTATCCTTCTTTAATTCAACCCATCTGTCACGCTCTTTAGCGGCTTTTGCCACGACCGCACTTTGGCAGCTTGTTTGAGTGCACTGGGTGAAAGCAAAATACAAAAGGCCAGTTCGTTTACGCCTGATAAATCTCCATCTGTTGGAGATACTCAACCGCCCGCGCCCCCCCCCC